TAATTGACAGAAGCTGGTGTTTACACTGACCTGTTACTCATATATTAATGTCTTTGTAACTTCAGTAAACCACTACCTCACTAATTTCTTTCATTCATCACGGTTCAGTAAACTAAGTGATACATGAACCAGTTTAATCATTATAATAACGTAGGATTGCAACTCTTTGAAACTGTAGGTGGCTCTTAATAGAGCCGTTGTGTTTGGGTGTGATGGTCTCAGGTCAGTCTAAGCCCTCTCTCCGCGGATGCGGCGGACCAGCTGGATGTCCTTGGGCATGATGGTGACCCTCTTTGCTTGGTTCATCTTACTGGGGGGCAGCTACATGGATGTCGGTGCAGTCCACAATCATTGTGCAGTTGAAGGCAGAATGAATTTATTATTGACTCCGAATGAAGCACAACTTCATGTCATACAATACAATGACTTTATTTGTAATTGTGTAAAAAAATATGAGCATTGATTAGCAAGCAGGACCTGCAGGAACAGAGAATGGTGATGGATGGAGCTGGGAAGAGAGAAGAATAAAGAAAACAGATCAACTTTATTATCGGATATTAAAAATTCAATTTCAAAACAAGTTGCCGCTCCTACAGTTTTCTAGTATGTAAAGATGATTTCACATGACCTATGCAAAATATCACACTCAATACATGTGTGTCTCTGGGGGGTGCATTGTGCCTTTGATGTATATAAATTAGGGCTGTCAAGTTAACGCGTTAATAACGCGTGAACGCAAAAAAAAATTAACGCCACTAATTATTTTAACGCGATTAACGCACGTATTGTTTGTCCTCGGCCGCCCCGTAGTTTCAGAGCGCATCGAGTTTAAAATACCATCTACAAGCTAATGCTGACAGCCCCGCTCCTGCCGCCCGCTTGTGGCAGACCACACTTCCACGCTCACCGGCAGGCACCGACTGGCTGTTGGGAGGACCGGGAGGGTGTGTGTATGTGTGGCCCGAGCGAGCGAGAGAGAGACCTTACGTGCATTGTTGTTGTTAGCATCTGGTGCTAGCTAGCTGCGCTAATGGATATGGAGCTGTTTAAATGAAAACAGAGGAGCGACATTTCGCCACAACTACGCCGAGCACTTGACTTTATGCAGGAAGCCAGACAGTGGGACATTGTACGAAAAGTCAGCACACTCAGCACGGATAGTGCGCAACATGATTGCAGCGTCCAGGCAGCTCCCGTTCGAGCATATGCCTTGAGTTGCACATAGCTCCAACACACACACACCACACACACACACACACACACACACACACACACACACACACACACACACACACACACACACACACACACACACACACACACACACACTGAGGAAAATATTTGTAATGTTCAGAGGTTGTTGTGTTTAATATTCATGAGAATATTTGTCATTGTTCAAATGATAATAAACATTAGCATAAAGCATATTTGTCCACTCATATGTTGATACGAGTATTAAAAACTTGAAAAATATTCCTCTAAGGTACATTTAGAACAGATAAAAAATGTGCGATTAATTTGCGATTAATCGCGATTAACTATGGACAATCATGCGATTAATCGCGATTAAATATTTTAATCGACTGACAGCCCTAATATAAATAATATACCATAACCAAATACTATTACGTACAGTGGAAATCAGGTTGCCAGAGCAGGTCAGTTTGCATGTTCCTCAACGTCTCAGCAGTTACAGGTGAGGTAAAGAAAATAAAAGAGAAAAAGGTCAGTAACAACACTTTGAATAATTATCTCTTCTAACAATTTTCTCTCAATAAGCACACAACGACTGTCTTTCCAACAAACAGATTGACTCACCCTCACTGTCATCACAATGAAACACGTCCAGAAGAATGTCATGCAAAGCTCCATGCCTGCCTTCGACTCTCCCTGAACTGCTTCCTTAGCACCCAGTGGAGGGCGCAGTAGGCTACTCTTCAAAAGTTTCACGAAATACTTACCATCATGTTTGGTTACTGTTTAACATTTTGGTTTACTTCATGTAATAAAATAATAACTTCATGGTAAGGCTACTAAAAATGACAAGGCTAAGTAATGTAATGCTAACTAACGTGCTCGCTACTCGTCGCTACTAGCTAGGTAGCTAACTTGACTATGTTCCATGCACAACATGTATATTACCTATGATATTACCTGATATGTCTGATCCAGCAACTCCTGGTCCTTTCATCAGACGGGAAGCGATAGAACGAGCAAGTGGTATGATCACTTTTGTGATTACAACCTGGTACAAAGCACACAGGCATCTTGTAAAAGTGAACCAACCACTTGGAGCATTATCGCCTGTGATATCACTTACGCGACCCAGAATGGGATTTGGGATTTGTAGTCTTTGTAGTCGCGTATTTTTCATAGTCTTATATTTCAACAGTTTTAAGACAAAATGTGACTTTTTTGACATGGAAATGATTGTTTAAGATTGACAAACATCATATGTGTAGTTCGTGGCACAATTCAAACGGGATCAAAAGATACGTTTTCTCTCTCCATTGAATTCAATGTATAATTTTTCACTTCCGGGGTCCCATGGACCGGAAGTAGATGGGCGTGACTTCGCCTCTCTATAGTGCGAAAAGAAAGCGGTTGTCGCCGGACAAGGAGCCGAAAGAAACTCCAGTTAATACTGATGCAACTGCAAATACAGAAAATGCTGTGTTAGAACAAAACTTTTCCTTGTCTGTTAAAGTTTTTTTGTGTTTCTTTTTAATTACTGAATCAAAGATATGAAGATAAGGATAGAGGGAGTCGTATGTTGTACAGATTGTAAAGACCTTTGAGCCAAATTCTTGGGCTGTATAAATAAAATTGTCTTGAAACAGTTGCTGATTTAGAGTACTGGCACCTTTTTTTATTCCAATTCAAGCACTGCGCACCGTTACTCGAACCACGCTCCGAAGCCTAGGCGTACTACATAACATCACTATTTATATCCTTTGAGCCTTCTTTGCTGTCCTAATTGTTCTCATTTAGGGTGATTTCAAGCACTGTTAAACTATAAATAACACTTCTCCACTAGGATACCTGCACCAGGACAGATGCTAATCTAGTTTATACTTGCCAAACAATTGATTGATTTTTGTTGAAACCCCATTCACACACATTTCCTTATTCTCAAAGAAGCCTTTGTCATTTATCAAAGAGGCACTTTCTTAATTAAAGAGGCATGTTTTCACTGTGAAGAAACTTGTAAGATTCACTTTTTGAAGGAAATATTTTTAGTTTTATGTTGTTGGGAAACGGTTATAAGGGTTCAGTCAATTATAATCTGGGGAATCAGTAGCACCACATATTGTTTGTCTCATTTCAAGGACGTCATCATTGATTGATTACTCATGTTGTAGTCTTGAGACTTTGCTCCAGTTTTGATTTGCTGTGATGGCTTTAGTGTAACTAATTGAAATGTCAATGATCAAAGTGTATCTCAAATAAACTGGAAAAGTACAGGAAACCATCCAACACCAAGTATTGATGTAAATGAGACTAAGCCATCAAAATAACCATTTTGATGGCCAAATAACCAAAGCTGTGATGTTTGGAGTGAACTTTTCAGATGATATGATCACAGAACTGTTTGTTAGAAGCACCTCAGCCATCAGAGCATATCAGAGCTGGATGTATGTCACGTCCAGCGGCCTGCAGCTGTTGGTTTTACCCGATGAGAATGTCATGTACCATGTGACTAGCAGAACAGAGCCTACTTTGCAACACATATAGTAAAGGATATACCAAGTATCATATATGGTTAATTTACCATACACTCAGACATGCAATACATATAGCAAACAACGGCTATATCCTAGCTGCTGAAAACTTTTATGGTACAAGCAGCAGAAGTAAAAGTGACACAACTGAGTCAACATGAACACTCCCAGCACTCAACACTGAGATGTAATGGGATGGAAAGCTGCCTTTCATGCACTGCTATCCAGGCCACTGCCTTTGCAGCCTGTAGTGCCAGTAACTGTACTTTATCTGAACAGGCAGAACACACAGAGAGCCTGTTTCTCCCTGCAGTGGCATGTGTTTCTCACCTGATCCCTGCATGCTCTTTTCCAAACTGCAGACACCACAGCTATTTGCATAACGTTACTTTTTAGACATTCACAAGGATTCCTTTCACTGGTGAAAATCAAATTGGTTTGGTTTATTTTTAAGGATGCCAGAGGGAAAACCCCATGTTGACCTACAAAATGGCAGCTTTCAGGGAGAGAGAAGAAAAATATCTTCAGGACAATACATTTACAATTTGGATTGATGAAATAATCAATTCATGACTAATGAGGTTGGAGATTCTCAAAAAGTATTATAGGCAACTGCCTGGGCCTCAAACTAAAAGTACTGCTGATTAGTTTTTATCTACATTAATGCATGTTATTTAATGAATTGACAATTTGTTTAAGTAACTAAATGCATATACTCAAAAAATGCAATGTCATATAAGTTCTTATTTCACCATGCCATCATCATCAGGGAGGCTCAAAACTTGAGTTAGCCTGGGGCCTACTGCTACAACTACAATTTATATTACTATTAATAACAATATAAATTAAAAGACACTATTTAAAACGTATTAAATATTGAATAAAGCCCTTTCAATAAGGGATTTTCCATTTGATGAATATTAGAGGTGAGTAAATTATTGCAATTACATCACAATTCATGTAAACTCAAAATAAGGCAAAATAAAGTTTTCCTCCTGAGTTTATGTCTCATCTGTTGTCACATAGCTTTAAGTCTAGGGTTTGAACAGCTTTAATAACCCTTAACCTGCCTTCAGAGAGAAGCTGGTCTCTGTGGTGCAGTTTCATTATTTATGAATAAAGAGACAGACTAAACGCTTGAGGTCCTGGGGGGATTAGACGCTGATGGCTGTAATCCGTTTGGAGCGCGTGTGGGGAGTGGGGAGGAGCTTTAGGATAGTAGGATTTTCCCTCATGGAGTAGCAGCTGGACGCATGCGCCCCCTCCCTCCTACAGTGTCTCCATCCACAGCGCAGGAGCAGAGAATGAACTTGTCTCTTTACCTGCTTAAAGGCGCCGCCGGTTGTGTGAACAGCCCAACCTGTTCACGGGACAGGGAAATGTTTCTCCTGGAAAGTTTAAAAAAGCTGAAATACACGACAGTGCAGGAGTCAGAAGTAAAGGATTAGAGAGGAGAAGAGTCCTTGGATGTAAAGCGGGCAATAAGAGAGAGGATTAGATCCCATAGCGAGGAATCAGAGCGAGTGTTGTTGTCAAAGATGCGGAAACAACAGCAAAAACAATCCGGATTTTGATCCACTTTGGATATTTACACGCGCTGGCAGCAGCATGCCTTGGCTCAGGAGAAGGGTGAAAATGTCCAGATTTGGAGTGACACCCAAACACCCTGAAGTTTTCTGTCTGTTGGGACTATTTCTGTGCTATGCATCGGCTGGTTTTTACACCATTCCGCGGAACTAACGGGTTTGGTTTGTACCTGAGTCATCATGTCAAAAGTAATTCAAAAGAAAAACCACTGGATCACTAAAGTGAATGACTGCCTGGTTATCCGGGGCGCTTGCGGGGAGCTGAATGTGGATCTGTGCGGCGGGGCAGAGCATGGAGAGTTTGCGTACATCGGGCAAGTTAGGGAGGATGCTGTGGTGTACCAGGACGGTAAACTCTGTGAGGGGGAGCTGCTCCTGGAGGTGGAGGGGCTGCCTGTGTCTGGATTACCCCTATATGACATTTTAAATGTGATTAAGTTCTGCAAAGATCCAGTCAGGTTGAAAACAGTGCGTCAAGGTAAGAGAAATGGGAAATAAAGCTGATTAAGTGAACTGTAACTGTCAGCAGTAATGCATGCATGGGAAATGAACACTCATGCACTACAGAATCCCAGTGGAAGTTGTTTCATACTTCCATATGGCAAAGCAAATATAAGCACATAACAAAATGGTGATGGGTGTGAAGAGGACAGAGTGCCTGCTGCATGCTTGCTGCTCATCTTCTCTTCCACAGCAGGCAGCCTGGAGTTTTCACCAGGCTTTGACATGAAGCCGGCCTGACAGTCTTCCTGCCCTCATTTTGTCTAACATTGCTAAAGCCACTCTGGGTCAGACCTGCGGGGTCACAGATTAGGCCATTTACAGAGACTGCAAGCTGCAGAGCTTCATCTGCACACCCAGCACTAACAGCACACACCTTTTACTGCCAGCTCCTTGACATGTGGGCTTTTGACCTGTCTTTCACAGGCCACAGTCACATGATGTGGCTTGTTGTTTTGTCTGTTGATGGTGACATCCCATCTGAAGCGACATTAGCACAGCTTCTTTCTAGGATGGCAACTTTTACTATGGAGGAATCTGTAGTGTTCCACCCCATCCCACTCCACAAAGGCCATGGTCACATATTCACAAGTCTTGTTTTTCTCCAGTCAAAAGTTCAAAACCCAAAGATATTCAGTTTACTATGATGTATGAAAACATGAAGAAGCACATCTTATCCATTTGAGAATCCAGTACTTCAACATATAGACGGGTTATTTGTATGTCAACCAAGGTATTGATGAATCAACATATTGCTCCATCTCCACGTCTTCCTGTGAAGTAATGTTGTTTGTTAACTGAGTGCTTTGTTTGTGAGAGTGGGACACTACTCATGTGCAGCTGGGGTTATTTCTGGAAGTGCTCCCTGCGTGTTAGATGATGTTGACCCATTGCCCATGGTCTGCTGCGTCTGCATCTGTCTGAGAGACAGCTAGAGGGATACAGCTTCTGACTCAAACTTTTGTTATACTTTGAATGTTTGTTGTTTGTCCTGTGGGCCAAATCTGGATATTCTGTAATGAGTGAAATTTGAAATATATATTTTTTACTTTTAAAATTGGATTCATTTGTATATTTCACCTGAAGTGTGTCTTTTCCAAACAAACTCGCTTCCTCTCTCCCCTCACTCTCAATATTTGACAAAGCTCGCTGTCCTTCGTCTCTTGGGAAATCATTAACTGTGTTATATAACAGCGGTTTAGTTTCAGTGTAGCATCATTGCATTTATATTGCACTGTATGTCTATGTGAATGCTTGACCTCTGGATCTGAAATCTCGACCCCTGGGACAAGAGCTCAGCACTAACGCGGCTTTGTGTTTGTAGAACAGGGGATTGTTTGACATACGATCGGACCACACTTGCAGCATGGGAGATTTTTAATATCCACAAACAGTTTTCTAATTATTTTAAACACTTCGTTCTTGTAAATGCTTTAACACCCCTAGACATCCTGGGCCTTCTTCATTGGTTGTTCATTAGTTTCTCACATAAGTCAGCAGATTCTCCTAGGCTGTAATTAAAGGAGGGGGATATTCTTCTATATATCTGAGGAGCTCACAGGACCTCCATTGTACCTCACAGTCTGTTGGGCTTCCATGCAGAACTGGCCAGGAATGGATCAGATCTCTCTGCTCTCTTCTTAGGGTCACATTTCAGGAGGCCACATCCCCTTAGTACTGTGTGTGGAAACGTTATCGGTGTGTGCAGGCAGGCATGTTGTTGCTGCAGTATACTACAGCCCCACAGGTGTGTTGCTCCCACTGAGGAATACAGAAAGAAAAAACACCTGAATAAAGTCTGGGCATTCCTGTGGTCATAAGGTGCAATATTACATTTCAGTGGTTTTCAGTCTGGGTTTTTATTAAATCCAAGTGTAAATAACCCTTCAACTTGGGAAGGAATGACAAAAATGTGGGAGATCTGGTTATACAGTTTACACAACAAACGATACAGTGTTAAAGTTGGTACCTGGTTTTAATTTGAGTTTAACAGAGGTACAATGACTTGTGGATGATTTCCAACTCATTGATTAGTTGATCGACTGAGAGTAGCTTTTCATGGAAAAATTACTGAAAATGCCATTTCCATCCACTCAGATATGAAGATTTACACCTTTTCTCTGTTTTACATAGTATCAAACTAAATATCTCAGGGTTTGGGACCAGCAAAATACAAAATTGAAAGACATACCCTGAGGCTTAGAGAAACTGGGATGGACATTTTTCAATAGTTTACAAAACAATTAATCTAAAATCTAAAAGAAAATACTGAGTAGCTATTTCATGAACATTTTATTTAAGTAAGAGTTTGAGTTAAAACAAAAATAAGATTATAGTCTTTAAAAGGTTCTGTTCTCAAATAATGTTATACTCTCTCTGTTTGTACTGAAGTGCTCCAGCCCAGCTTCAGTTACCTGTCCTCCCAATGTATCACCTGTTCTCTTATACACTTTTATTGTCTTGGTTTTGCTTGAGAGGAAAAACTAAAACATAACATAGTTAATGTCACTTGCTAACATTTATTGTCTGTAGAATTTCAGCATGCACCTGTCACTTGCATTATCTTTAATAATGTCCCTCCCTGTGTTTGAAACTCTCTGGCTTATTCAAGCTGCAATAAATACTCACTAAGTACACATGAAATGCAAACCCAGTCAACAACCAGGCATCATATTCTCCTTTTTCTTCGTCAATGGGGTGGGTTCACTTAAAAGGAAAATCCTTATTTGTATATTGTTTACAGAGGCCTGGTGAATGATGAATACATTTATTTTATGGCATTTTTTAAGGTTAAAGTACAAAGCGCGAGTACTTACTCACAGATCAAGAATTTGACCCACCAGTGTAGCTTTTTTTATGTTATCTTCAGTTGAATCTAGCTCAAAGGTGAAACATTTTGTCTTTTAGCTGTATTTGAATGATCATCTGATAACAGGGGTGTCCCTGCTAAGGTGCAAAGGTTGTGCATTAGGTAAAATAAGGTTATTGACATATGACATTTGTTTGTTGAGCAAATTATAGTATATGCATTTGAAACCAAAATAAGTCAAACACAGCTGTGAACAACAATGTGTTTTACAACTTGGACATTCTTCTGGGCATTTGAGTTTTTACCCTTAAAGTAACCCTAAAACCCCTCCAGCACCTAAACAGTCCGGGGGTTTACGGCGCTCTGATCATGGGTGGGTTTGGCCGGCTGTCTCTCTGAACTCCAGGACAAATAGCCTCTGGTCGCCTCAGGTCTCGCCTCCACTTGAACCAAGCCAGAGAGGATCAGGGGCCAGGCCGCCTGCTGGATGCCAGGCATTCCTGAGAGGTGGGGCCAGGAGTTCACCAGGATAAAACATCTAGACTTTATACTTCAAACTCTCCTTTAGTTCCTGTTTCACGCCTACTCTCAGGTCACTTCTTGCTTTCACTCGTCACCCTGATCATGACTGGGCGGCATGGTGGTATAGTGATTATCTAGTCCATATGTTTAAACATTTAAACCTTCAGCATACTAAGCATTTGTTCTGCTAAAGTATCCTTGAGCAAAACTCAGAGAGCAACTCCAGGGTCACTAATAGTGTCACGATCTGTCTTTGTGGTGTTTTGTCTTGTTTGGATCTGTCTGTGGTTCCCTGTCGTTAGTTTCCCTGGTGTGTCTGATTACCCGATTGTGTTCACCTGTGGCCCCTGTGTTTTCTCCTCCCTCCTCACCTGTGTCTTGTTTGTGTGATTAGTCTTGTGTGCATTTAAGTTCTGGTTTTTCTGTCTGTCTTTGTCGGTTCGTCTTTTGTCATGACTAGTTCGTCGGTGAGTGTTCTGTTTTGTCTTTGTTATCACCTAGCCTTGAAATAAAGGAAGTTTCACTTGAATCTGCATTTGGGTCCTACCTGCTTCACACACCGTGACAAATAGCTGACCCTACATATGGCCCAAGTTATTGCATCACAATTTAGTTATCCTGTAGGCAAGGAAAGACAGTGAGAGTCAAACCAAAGTATGAATTCTACACTCTTTCTTAAATTAAACCATCCTCCACAGTTAAGCACATATTAGAAGTTGAGCACATAAAGATGAACAGTTGTTATAAAGCGCTGGAAATACAGCATTTATTATTGATTCATGTGTGTGTGTGAAGAACGGTGCGCACAGATCTGATGTTTCCATCCGCTGCTATTTTAAGACTCTTCGGTGGAGTTTGAGTGAAGTTTAAGTCACATGCTTCATGTACATCATGATTTATTTATTAAGTGTCTTCCATAGCACATTGTAGCACTTTGTTTTAATCGACATACCAACCTTTCCACTTAAGGCAAGTGCAAAAACTTATTTGTCATATTTTTTGTTTCAAAAAATTGAAAGTGCACATTAAAACAGAGGTTTTATACACACTTATTGTTTTTTTCCATAATTACAGATAAGGAGAAGGGCTTAGTAGCATCAACTGTTTCTCTTTCATGTGTCCAGATGTGGTGAAAGTGAATAACCCGACTCTGAAAATAAATAAATATACAAATATCTAGCAACTGACTCTGTTATGTAAAGATTGCACTAAGTTGTGTCACTGACATTGTGTCTCGGTGCACGGTTAAGAAGGCTTACACACATCCAGAGGATGTGACAGCTTTGTCGACACAGATCTCTTCTGTAATGTGCTTGTCCCTGATGCAAGTCCCTTATATTTTAAGGGAGTAAGTAAGTAGTGAGACTTTGTCAGTCTTGATTTAGTGTAGTCGACTGCATAAGTATATCCCTGAAAGGCTTGTCAACGGTTTGTGACATGAATGCTGCAGCTCTCTCCCCTCCTTGTCTCTGAACGGCCGCTATGCTTTCTCCTTTTCCTTCCACGTCCAACATCCATTTATGAGCTGTTTTGTTTGCCGTCAAAAGTATAAGCTCTTTGTTTTGATTGATCTTGTATGGTACAAACAGTTACACAGAAGGGAGATTATCATTGTGATAAACTCTGGTGTGGATGTCTTCAAAGGA